AAAAAAAAAAAACGTTTTATTACATTTACCTACGATTTGTATACGTTAATATACGCAAAGTTACATACACAACAACATACGATCCGGTTCGAGAGTGATACTTTTACGGGTTCATCGAGACGTTAAAATATTCTCAACCCTTGAAGAGAGCACATCGTGAGAAATAGGAAAAGAGTTCGAGTCACGATTTTAATATCGGATTGGATAAAACGATTTCGTTCTTGATATGTCCAAGATTGGCGAACGTAATGAAAGACTTTGCCATAGATGGATTACGAAGAGAAACGATTATTTAAATCATAATGTAGCAAAGCGATTAACGTGTGTACAATATCGTTCGACAACAGTAAGAAAATGTTTTGTACTCTAAATCCATTTATTTTATCTTCGCATATAATAATATTTATTGTGCTTCGTGTCGATGATACGTTGCTATGGTAAAATCTTTTCCACGATTCGTCAAACGTATGCGTTCGAATTGTCGCTCATAAATCACGATATATTTCACCTTTTTCCCAAAAATGGTTAGACGAGTTCACGCCCGATTGAGTATTCGTGACTATACCACCGAGTTTATGTGTTACACCATACTACATTAATATTCCTTTTTGACTTATAGCTCTGTTCGATTAGTTATGCAGCTTGAGAACGCGATTATGTGATTAGTTGAATTATTTAACGGTGAGTTGCGAATTTCCATGTCTCTTGATCCACTTTCCATGCAAATTGTCGTGTATTTCTGATTTCTTTCATTTACAAAAGTTTGATAATTGATAATATTCATTAGATATAGATGAATGCTGTTGAGATTTTTCTTTAAAAATGAAATGATTCAGCGGATCAATTGACTATAATCCTACAACTCTGTTATTTGTAATGAACGATCGACCAGTTTTTATAGAGGCAACGAGATCATTTTCACGAATAAAAGGTATAAATTCTTTGGTAAAATCGAGCTTATACATTAATTTTCTTAAGATACGTTGCCTATGCCACTTAATGCTACGCCTAGTTTATGCACGCTACCACAATTCTTGTTTTCTTCTTATTTTATCGATTAACATGTCGGTTGTTATAATGACTATGTGACACGTCGCTTGAGTAATTACGAAACGTTAAAAAAATTCGTTTCGAGATTCTCTTTCGTAAAGAAAGATCGTAATTTTAATCTTATTATCGATAATTTATATACAAGTTCTTTTTTCCCCCTTAATTTGCATCAAATCTTGTAATAAGTCTGCACCCTGTTCACAGAATTTTTTTTCATTCGTACTTAGATTATGAAATCACAGGGAACTATATGATCATTTGTAGATACTATTTTCTCACAAGATAAACATATTTGTATCTACATAATCATCAGTAGATACGACAGAGATTTATATATCTCTCTTAATAACGTAGATTTCTTCCATAACAATTATCAAAGTTTATTCCTCCAACGATTCAGATTTCACGCCACTAGTTCATCGTTTCCTAATATTTAGGATTAAAGTGGCGTTTCCTCCTCTTGCAGTTACCTGGGCGTCGGAGGAGGTGGTGGTGGTCATACGGCGCTGCCTGTGTAGAAACCTGTCTTGCCAGCCAAGCCAGGTCCTCGTTTTTTCTTCTCGCATTCCATTGTACTAAATGTATTTTGAGCGATTTGAGACTTTCTTTTCGGATTTTGAAGTGTCATGCTTCTTTGACTAGAGTTTGAACTTGAACTAGTTCCTGGTTCGGATACTCTAAGAATCCCTGAGTGTATTGTGCCGAAATTCTGATAGATATATTGAGATTGAATAGCTGAAACAGACGTATTCTGATTCTTCAAGGTAATGGGCACTGTCTGTCCTGCTAAACTATTGTATCGCGTATCATAACCAAAAGGAGTATCCAATAACGATTCATTTTTTTCTCCATATCCACTGAGTCTGGAATCGAGGAGACCTTCCTTTTCGGTAAAGCCACTCAATCTAGAATCCACGATATTTTGTTCCGTAGTTCTAGGAGAAAATTCGCTATATCGTGGCTCTTGGCCAACTGGATGTTCCTTACTTTCTGTGAAAGCAATCATATTCTGTCGAGAATCAGATAAAATTCTATAATCGATTAAACCTTCCTTATCGGCAAAACCACTTAATCGTGAGTCGATAACACTAGCTTCTGACTTATCCCCGAAGCTATATCTAGAATCCGTGTTTTTTGTATCTGGATATGCTGGTAAAACATGAGAGAGGTCTGCCTTATCGACGTAGCTAATAGCTTGAGGATTCGAGGCACAGATATCGGGTGCAGTTTTGCATAACAAAGATGTTCCTTCTTCGGGAGCTCTTTGGGATGCTGTAAATGTTATAAATTTACAATTAAATATTTGTTTAAAGTTGTGTAAAATGATATATATAAAAATGAATTAATTACTTTTTGAAGGTTGTCCAAAAGCTCGAGCTTGTGGAGGTCCAGGTGACTTCTGATGAGTTCTAACTAGATATTCTGAACTCAGACCTCTCTGTTCCCTTAATTTTCTCTCAGCACCGGGTACCATGACTCTCACCTAAAAATAAAACAATATTAAATTAACTATTTCGTTATTAGTGTTATTCTAAAATTATGGTATATATATACCATTTCTTCTACTGTTGAGAAACGGGCCATGTATCCAGACATAGTCAATACAGCTGCCACTTCTGCTAGAATTAAAGCCAACCCCGATAACTGAAGACACCAGCCATACTGATACTGTGGTAAACCATTGTCATCGGCTTGCATACTCGAAGTAGATGGTAGACTATATTTTGCCGGCAACTCTAACGATGCATCCGACAAAGCAGATGCTAGAACTATAAGGCCACCACCTAACGAGAGTCCTGGAACACAAATGAAATTATTACTTGGCTTATATCCTAATATCTTTGATATTTATGAATCAATTCGAATATTCGTGATTTATTTTCGAAACTGCACTTGTTACACTATTCACGATAAAATTCCTCTAAAGTCAATATACTACATTGGATAATACATAAAGTTTCGCAACGATTTATATCACAATTTGTTTTTCAATAATCGAATTTTTTAATTAAATCTTTCGTATCGTTTCTCTATATCATTACTTCTACGGAATATTTAAGGATTTACAACTTCAATATCCAACGGATATTCGAATACTTCTGATTTCTTTAAATGTTACGACTTTTTTCATTTCAGCAAAGAAGTCTAAGATGAACTTTATTAACAGATCTGGAAGAGATTACCGCGGATTAAATTAGGTGGAAAGTTGAGAAACGGTTCATAGTTGTTCGCAACTCAACTTTTGAGGCTTCAATCTTTTTCTTTATTATGGATAGATTGCTCGTATCTCTTTAAGCTCAGGCAACAGTGCTATTGCATTCTCGTAACGCTAGCTTATACTGGTAATGCAAGACGAATGAAGCCATTAAAATTGATCGTTCCATAAAGCTCGTCGCGTTTTCTGCGTGCTTAACTGCACCTTTCGGGTGAATAAACGGCACCCACTAACAGTAATTGAGATAAAACTGAGTGTCCTGTTCCTGACAAAGAATTAGATTGGTTGCAGTTTTTCAATTAAAGGAAAGAACGATGAGTTATTGTGGAACCTCTATCCGGATTAAGTACACATTGTTATTTTACAATATTATAGGCTTTCGAAACAAACATCTTTCTAATATTTTCCAGAACCAGAACCAAGAACCATCCCAATAAATTTTCTATTTCTTTTTCTCATTCCCATATAAAATTTTCGTTTCGTCAATAACAAATTCTTCATTTTTCTCGTAATGCACGCCCAAGATTCGACTTGACCGCTTTTAGTTTTTACTCAATGGATTTTTATCGCGTGTAAAGCGTGCTGTATAAAAATTTGCATACGCGTGAAACGAACAAACGAAGCTTGCTGCCGTTTCCTCGACGGTCGATTCAATTCCAGTCGCACCGTCGACAGGACATTGTTATGACGGGATAAGCTGTCCCGTTATTGCATTCTTAACGACAGATAGTCGGCCTGCGTCACGGCGACCTGGATTATCGTTGAAACGCACCAGCTCTCTTGGTCTACTTTTCAACCCTTTTACGAATGCTCGTCCCTCTATTTTAACCCTCTTTCGTGGTGTTGTTTAAGTCATTTTATGAGAAAATTGAAAGCGGATATATTTCTTATTTTAATTTGTTGTAATTGCGAATAGAATTATTAATGATGATGAAAAATTAAAATTTTGTGAAAATTAGATTAAATTAAATTTTATTAGAAAGGAGAAAATTTTTGAAATTTATTTGATATTATAGAAATTTTCATTTGATGTTGCTTTAATTCGAAATTAAATTAAAAGTAGAATTTTTATTTTATGTTACGTGTTTTAATGATATCTTTATGAATTTTCATAACTATTGTTACGGGGTCGGATCGTGTTATTAAATTTAATTATTAAATTATTCGTTGATCGTGAAAATATTTTATATCAAAGCATATGTTAATTGCATATGGAATTCTAATTGCCAAATTTAATTGTCAAAATTAATTTTCGAGTCACAGATGTGTAAAGCAGATATTCATTATAGTCAAATAAGAAAAATTTTTTCAAATTCTTTGATTAGATATATTATACTCGCATTGCAATGATATTAATTGCATGTAAATGTTTATGCTAATTTATGAACGCAAATGGAATCTACATAAATATTGTTTCACATTTTAGATATTATAACAAGAATTTTATCGTTAATTTTCGTATCCTATAAATTTTAACACATTTAAATTTCTCATATACATAAATATTCCTGTTCCAATTAATATTTCCAGTTATTTTACCAATTTAACAGATCATACTTCTATTTAGAATATTCACATAATTCATTAATACGATTCATAATACGTAATTGCTCGATATATATCAAAATCGAACATAGCGAAAAGTTTCTTAAAATTTTGTTTTTCCTTTCTGAAAACGAGCAATTAACAGTGTAACAAAAAAATTTCAGAAATCCAAAAAAAAAAAAAAAAAAAGGGGAAAAAAACAACCGAAAAATCCCCAACAAAATCCAACAAAATTTTTTTCCTTCCTGCAAACAAACAAATTAAAAACCCCCGAAGGCAAAAAAAAAAAAAAAAAAGGGGAAAAAAACAACCGAAAAATCCCCAACAAAATCCAACAAAATTTTTTTCCTTCCTGCAAACAAACAAATTAAAAACCCCCGAAGGCAAAAAAAAAAAAAAAAAAGGGGAAAAAAACAACCGAAAAATCCCCAACAAAATCCAACAAAATTTTTTTCCTTCCTGCAAACGAAAAATTTCCAAACCCCCGGGGTCAAAAAAAAAAAAAAAAAGAGGAATAAATACACTGAAAAATCCTCAACAAAATTCAACAAATATTTTTTCCTTCCTGCAAACGAACAATTATCAAACGCACGATGTCAATAAAAAAAAAAAAAAAGATTAAATAAAACTCTCGAAATTAATAAAGTCGAATAGAAATTTCTTAAAATCCTCCAATAATATTGAAAAAAATGCTTTTATCCTGCAAACGACCAATTATCAGTGCACGGCCGACAATAGATTACAGGTTCGTCCCCTGCAGGTGATTAATTTCAATAATTGATTGCTACTTCAGCTTGTTAAATTACGGCGGGCATAAAAAGCATGCATATTTCATTGGCGCGTCTCCGTTGAAACGGCGCGAATTGTGTTCGGCGAATTTAAATTTCAATTAAACGCCGCCATACGTTTTACAATCGGGCGTACGTCGTTTCGTCGAGGGCAAAGTTTATGCTTCGTTCTCGATTCGCGGCACGTATCCGCGCGCATGAACACGCGATGCACACGCTTGTCACGAAGATGATTTAAAAATTTTGAAAATGGATAGCGATCGGAATCGGTTAATCCAGCGTGGTTATTTATCGCTTTAAGTCCATAACAGTCTATATCGAAGAACGATGAGTGTCTAAATAGAGGAATTATAATTTATTTGGTAAGATCAACTTCTTTCTGAATTTTTTGAAATATGTGAAATTATTCGAAATATACTTGTAAAATGTATTTGTATGATATTAATGGAGAAGAATTTTTCTTTTGTTGTTATAGATAATTAATTAGAAATAGGAAAAGTCTAATTTTCAAAATTTTATTTCTGGAATGGAATGTTTTTTAGAAAAATATTTTATTATTTTTGGAAGGGTTAAAACATATTTTTTAAATTTCTTATATTTAAAATAGATTATCTTTATGGTATGATAGATAGATGAATTTCTGTACGTAGATATAGATAAATAATTATTATAGAAAATGTAAAAATATGACATGGTTGCTTCATTATATAACCAATAAAGAGAATAATAGATCGAAACCAATTAAACAAAACAATACAAAAATAATAAAGAATAAAGAAACATAATTGAAAAGAGATGAAATAAATGCAATAAATAAATATAATTAACTCTCACCTTTGATTTTTAAACTTTAATTTATTCAATTCAATATTAAATGAATGTAATAATAATAAATCAATATAACAAAACAAAAAACATGTTTTGTACATTGTTTCATTTTTAAAAAAAATAATGGAATTTTCATATATTCAGAAATAAATAATATAATTTTCATTTTCTAAAAATTATTGTTCATTTACATGATGTTAAATTATTTCAAAAAATACAAAAATTCAAACCTAGTTTTTTTTATATCAAATCGATAGGAGATAATTTTTATAATTTTCCCTGTTTCTTTTTTTTAAATTATTCAGAAGAATCACAGAGCTAGAATGAGGTTGTTTTCCTTAGAAATTCAAGCATGATTGAATCCCTTCCGAGAATCTACACGTGATCCAGCATTTCACACGTATTTTATCGTGGTACAAAAACTTGGCCGCGTATCGACGAATCGAATTTCTATACGCGGAGAGAGGTTTAATTAGCGCGCTGCTTGTCAGCCTTCTCTTCATTCATCGATTTCATTCGCAAGTATGCCAGGCCAGACGCTGTTTATCAATTAACTGTAGTTAACCACCGCGACCTAATTTCACGCGTCTTCGGGAACAAGTCACGACAGATGTGAAATAATTACGCTGTGGCGAAAGTTTAAGGTTCGTTAAGGGCCGTGAAAAGGGATCTTTGTCCAATTTCGGCTTGTCAAATAATTGAGCGAAGTGAAGGAAAACTGGATAAGGCATATTTTTATTAAAATATTCGTAATGGATTCGTAGTGTCACGATCGAAAGATTAATCGTGTCGATATTTAAATTAATTTTATTTGGATTGCTTTATATATTGTAGATGGATTCGTAATTGAAATAAAATTAAGTTAAATAACAAAATGTCTGAATTAATTTTTCGAAATGACTTTTGAGAGAATTTTTTGGAAAATAAATTATCGATATTTTGAAAGGGTTTGCGGATTAATTATTGGTAAAACGTGAAATTTTATCCATAATTTTAATTATAATTCTTTCATTTCATCGTACGAATACGCTTCTTCTTTATGAAGTCCGCCATTAATATTTTCTATAAAATGAAACGTAAGTTTATCTTTTATTATAATTTATTTTATAATTAAAAGAAATTGATACTTTTTATTTTATTATTGCAGTTGAATATCAGAAAACATAAAAAACCATTCAATATTGAAATGATTATTACAATTAGTATATGAAATACCAAAAATCGACTGAAGTTGGCGCTAAGATCGACGTTCCATCACGTGCATGCCATAATCGGTATTAAGGATGAAAGGGTTAGAAATATATTTAATCCCAATGCAATAGAATGCATGCAATCATTTCAACAATATAACAGATATATCGATCAAGATTTCTAATGATTTTTAATTTCTAAGATATATAATTTTAATACATATATATTT